AAGACTTTTTTTGGTATGACTCACAGAAGCAAGAAATAGGATAATTCAGTGCTTACCTGGCATTGGAGTTGGGCCAATTTGCTACAGATAACTCCTACTATATGAGGTATTCCTACTATATGAGAATTTCCCTGCAGCAAAAACTCTTTGCATTAAGCTTTCAATATTATAGGGCTTGGGAGGCAGTAGGGCATAGTGGATAGAATGCTGAACTAAGAGCCAGAAAGACTTAGCTTTAGATCCTGCCTGACTTATACTTATTAGTTGTATGATCCTGGGCAAGTCACTTAGCTTCTCAAAGCCTCAGTTTCTTCATCTGTAAAATGAAGATAATAGCACCTATTTTGCAAGTTTGTTGTATCAAATGAAATGCAGTATCTAAAGTGCTTTGCAAATCTTGAAGCACTAGTGAGTGTTAGCTGTTATTATTGGGGTCAGTTATTATTATTGGGATCTTGACAATATGAAATGAATGGAATTAAGAATCTTTGAAATTCCTATGAGGGCAGAGAAGGGATGCAGGATTATGTTCTCTGAAGAAGCAGATATCAAAGGAGACTTCCAGAACATCCAAAAGCCCATTGGACCATTGATCTCTGGCATCACTTTTGCCATAACCAATGGAGGATTTTGGCTTTTTCCTATCTTTCCATCTTTATTTCACATTACTCTCCTTTACCCAGGCTACATACCCGCCATACCAGACTACTTAGCTATTCCCCTAACTGGATATACTGTCTACTGCGCCATGCATTTGGATTTTTGTTTGTAAAAATAAGTTTTATTTATGCCTTTCATTTTTACATCAAATTGCACTTTCTGCAGAGGGCATTTTCCGAGCCCACACCCCCCCCACCCCAGATGCTACTAAGATTTCCCTCTGAGATTACCTTCCATGTATTCTGTATATATGCCTATTTATTTATGTTTGCATTTATATGTTTGTTATTTACATGTGCATGTATCTCTCCTCTATTAGAATGTAATGTCCTTGAGGGCAAGGAATGTTTTTTTCCCTTTTTTGTCTCTCCAGCACTTAGCAGAAAGAAGGAAGGATGGATGGATTTGTTAAGCATTAACTATGTACTGGAGATACAAATACAAGATCAATGTGGGCATGATTTTGAAGTCTATATTGGTCTGAGCCCCTCCACAAAATAGGGGCTCCAAGAGGAAATCACCTGTAGTAGTTAGGGGGGATGGGGTATAGGTCTTGCAGAGAGAAATTACAGGGTGAACAGACTGCAGGGATAATAAGATATTCCAGGACCAGAAGGCTCCAGGTGTAGAGGAAGTTCCAGGAGTGCTTGGCACATAATAAGGGCTTATTAAATGCATGTTGACTGACTTACTGACATCACACTTATTTCCAGATGTGCCACTCCTCACCCCCTCCCCCAGTTAATAAATGGAATGTATGAATGAAGCCTGTCTTTTAGAAACATGTTCTAATCTCTAGCTAAAGGACGTATTCAGCCAGACTCTCAGCAGCACACACCCCTTCCCCTATCCCCATGAGGACCAAAGGACTAACAAGGAGCCTCTAGTGATTCATGCCCCTTAGCAACAGGCCAGAGTATGTGTCCATTCCCATCTAACTGAAGTTAATCAAAACCAACTGACTTGCTTCTGACAGTATATGCTACAATCCACACCCACAATCCCAAACTTCTCTATCAAGAACCTCTATGCATTTGTGCAGGTTTTTTCCCATTTCTGAAGTTCACTTAACCACTAATATTCTCACTGGTCAGCATACTCCTGTTCCCTTAAACTTAGCCTATTCCAGTGACTTTGAACCCCCTGCTGCCAGTGTACAAATCCTATTCCCCATTCCTTAACTCCCTCACTCCTACCCCTGTTCACCCTATCCCCTCAGTGTGCTACATCAGATCCCCCTGCCCCTTCTACTGTGCCCTCTGTGGTGCCTACTCTATAATTAACAAATTTCTTTCATCTTAAACTTTTTTTCTTACATCTTCTGGCCCTCTCTGAGACATGGCTTTCTCTCAGTAACACACTTCTCTCACTACCCTTTATAGTACTGGCTACATTTTCTCTTGTAACCTCTACTCACTGGTTATGATGAGGAAGCTGGAATATACACTGCTTCCATTGACAATAATAAGCTTTCCTTCAATCACCTTTTTTAAGCAACCTCTCTTTCTTTGATGTTCCCTCTCCAATCATCCAATCTAAGTCTTAGCAGCTAATATCTATACATCACCAGGACATTCTCCTTTCCTCAATGAGTTCAATGCCTGGCTCACAGTCTTTCTCTCCTTCCCCTCTCTTGCTCTCATACTATGAGACTTCAGCATACATACTCATACCCTCTCAAATACCCTAACATTCTAGTTCCTCAATCTGTTCAATTCCCATGGGCTACTCCTCCATTCTACCTCACCTACATAGAGAGCTGGCAACACACCCTGACATCACCCACAAGTCTTCTACTTCCATATTTATGAATTTGAAATTCATTCCTCTGATCATAATCTTCTAGCACTCCATCTTTCCATATGCCTTATGACCTCTAACACAGTTCTTCATCCAAAACATGATCTCTATTCCCTCCACCCCTCATTTTTTTCCCCAGCCATTATCCCTGCACTGGTTACATTATCTTCTCTTCCCTATCTCAACTCTGGTGAATCAGATCATCTCTATACTATCCTACACCCTATATTTCCTTTCCCCTTCATCCTACTGCCAGCCATATCTTGCCAAACCTCAACCCTGAACTACAACCACTATTCACTTCCTTTTCTTTTATTCACACGTAGCTGAACAGAGCCAAAGGAAATTACAAAGCTGTGCTAACTGGGCCCACCACAGATTTATGTGATCTGATCTCTACTGGGTACTAACCTGCAACAAGGCAAACATTCACTTACTCCCCAACTTATTTTTTATCCCTCTCTCCATAGTGTCTATTCCAGCCTTTCTCTCTGAACCTCCAAGTCTCCTTTCGCTTCTTGGCTCGTGGAGCCTCTCTCCATAGTTGTTTATTCCAGACTTTTTCTGTTTGAGCACTCCCTCTACTCCTCTCAGCCTCACATTTCACTGAAAAAAACCAGGCCATTTGGCAAGACCTCTCTTTTCTTCTCTTGTCCTCATTTCACATCCCTGAGACAATCTCCCTCTACTGTCTCTTCCTTCACTTTGATCTCTGATGAAGAAGTAATCCTTCTCACATCATAAACAAATTAGAGAAACAGAAGAAATTTCCTTTCAGAACTATGGTTAGAGAAAGAATTGATGACCAAACCCTTGTTTGAAAGGGTCACAGAACAATTTATATCTCAGTCTACTTCACTGGTTCTTCATCCATGTTATGCCTACTAATCTTGGGTATCCCTTTAGGTTTTGTCCTGGGGTCCTCTTTTCTTTTTTTCTCCATACTATCTTACTTGATGATCTTATCACCTTCTATGGGTTCAATTTTCATCTCTTTTCAAATGATTTTGAGATCTGTATATCCATGCCCTAGTCCCTCTGCTGACCTATAGTCACACATCTCCAGCTGCCTTTTTTTCATCCAAAACTGAGTGTCCTATAGATAACCCAAACTCAGTATTTCCAAAAGAGAATAATATTTCCCCCAAAATTCTTCCCAGTTTCCCTATTACTGGTGAGAATGCCACCATCTCTCCAATCACTCAAGCTTGCATCCTTGGTGTCTTCTTAGATTCCTCTCTGTTGCTCATCTCATATATCCAATCCATTGCCAAGGCTTACCAGTTTGGCACCTTCACGGCATCTTCATATGCATCGCCTTCTCTACTTATACATTCACAGCCCTAGTTCATTACCTCTCCCCTGGACTCTTTCAGTAGCCTTCTAACCACTCTTCCTGTCCTAAGTTTCTCCCCACTCTGTCATTCGCTCATTTGCCAAGGTGATTTTTCTAAAGCATAATTCTAATCATATCACCTCGCCTGCTCCATGAGCACCAGTGAGTCATTGTTACCTCCAGAATCAAATATAATGGTGTCTGGCATTCAAAAAGCTCTCCATAAGCTAGCCCCTTCCTGCCTTTCTAGCTTTCTTACTCCGTTTTCTTCCCCATGTACCCTGCAATCCAGCTGCACCTGCCTATTTGCAGGTCCTCAAAAAAGGATGCCATCTTTGTGTGTTTGCTGTATCACACACCTAGAATGCTCTACCCCCTTTGCCTTTTAGTTTCCCTGCCTTCCTCAAATCCTATTTTGTATAGGAGGCCTTTCCTGATTCCTCCAGATGCTAAATTCTTTCCCCTTTCAAATTACCATCATGTATTCTGTATACATCTTATAAATACTTCATTATTTACCTCTTGTCTCCCCCATTCAGATGTATGTTTTCTAAGGACAGACTATTTTTTTCCTTTCTTTTTATCCCCAGGGTTCAGGGATGCCTAACAAATAGTAAGCATTTAATAGATGCTTATTGATTGACTGAATCCTCTCTTCCCCTGTATCTCCTTGTTTCAAAGTCATTCTCTTCTTTCAGAGGCTTTAGCTCAGGTGTCCAGTCCTTCAAGGACTTTCATTTAGTCAGTCATCTTCACAATATTCTGGGTAAGGGATCCATTGTGCCTCTTAGCACCATGGATACTAAAAAGTAACGAAGCTTACTACAACCTTTTCCATTACTGGACGATTCTTATTGGAAGTTTTCCATTATGTTAGACCAAAATTTGCTTCCCTGTAACTTCCATCCAGCTTTATCCTTTTGGACCAAGCTGATTAAGTCTAATCCATCTTTCACGTGTCAGCATTTCAAATAGTCATGAAGTGTTTTTCATTTTAGATAGGAAGTAACTAGAGCATTAATTCATAGTGTAATTCTCTGGGCTAAAATATCAAGTCTAACATCTTACATTAAGAGGATTAATTAGTTCATGTTTATAAAGTATAGTGCAGATATGCCCTTTTTAAATGTTAATTTTCTAAAAACTACATCATAGCATTTTGCTAAATGTAAAAGCTCTAATATTCATCATTTCTTTGATACAGGTTGGCAAAGATTCTTTTGGCAGTGATTATATAGAAAACTTAAAACAGAATGATATTTCTACAGGTAAAATTTCATCTTTTAAAGTTTAAAAAAGCTTTTTCTTTGTTCTTGTTATGGGAGGAAAAAAAAGTTGGCTATAAAAAGATTTATTATTGTATTATCCTCTATTGGCTAAAGATTTTTTTTTCTCTCTAAGTATTTTGTCTAGCCTAGTTTGTGTAATTTAATTCTTTAATTATCGTTTTTTTTCAGCAGAGGTAAAGCGAAAGCAAGTTATTACCATTTATCAGGTAGCCTGGCTTCAAACTGAGGTGGCAGAGAAAACAGGACTGTGCAGACCTAAAAAGCATTTAGGATATAAGTGGAAAATTTAGAAAAGGTAGAACTGAAAAAGTCCTTAGTGCAGAGAAGTTCCATTCAATAAACATTTATCAGGTGCCTGCTCTGTATTCATTAAGAGACAAGATCAAAAATCACCCTGGGAATCTGGGAAGTCCTGGGTTTAAGCCCAACCTCTGACACATACTTCAGCCCTTGGCAAATTAACTTCTTAAGGCTGCAGGCATCTCTCTAAGAGTATAAATTGCAGGACAATTTTCTAAAAAATTGTATACTCCTAGTTTGATGCCTACCTATATTGTTGGTGTCAGTTTCCTCATTCAGAGTTCTCTGGACCAAAGAACACACAGGCCTAGACAGAAAACATGTTGTATACATACACACACACACACACACACACACACATATGTATATACAAGTATGTACACACTCGTGTGTGTATATATTATACAAGACACATCTAGTACATTTCCCTCATTTTACGGAAAAGAAAACAGGCATATAGAGGTGGGGCAACTCATCCAAAGTCATACATTTGGTTAGTAGTAGGACTGTTCTTACTGTGACGTTATGCTGCCACTCATGCTTCACCTTATCACAGCTTTACATACCACGATTTTTTGTGGAAGGCCTATAAAAATGGAAACAAGTGTGCTTTTTGGTTTGGATATCTTACCTGTCTCTTATTTCAAGTCTTTTCAGTAAATGGAAGAAAAAAAATAGAAGTGATTTAGAAGAGAAAAGCTAGTGGGCGTGGGGGAGTGTCTGATGTGCCCAGATTTTAATATATATTACAAAGCAAGTATCCTCAAAACAAAGAAAATTAGTATTAGTTTACAAATTAGTGTGCAAAAAATTAGTACCTGACAATTTTTTTCAAACAAGAATTCATTTTTTAATAAATTCATTTGAGAAAATTGGCTGTCAATATAGTGGAAAAGTATTTAGACTCAGATCTTTTTTCATATATTCCATTAAATTCTAAAGGGATAAGAAATTTAAACATAAAAAAATGAAAGAAAATTGAATAAACTATCTGAATTGTGATGATTAATTTTTAAAAATTCAACAGATGGAAAGAATTATTGAGGATAGATAAATGTGCTTTAATGCATTAAAATTAAAATTTTTCTGTGCCACAGAAGGGAATATAATTAACTAGAAAGAACTAAAAGGAATATAAGAAACATGAAGATTGGGGAATTTTTATAGAAAATATGACTTTGAAAATAACATCTGAAACATATGAGGGACTGTTAATTCAGTCACAATGGTAACTCCCAGACCATATCAGATAAATGGCCAAAATATATAAACTTGGAATTTTCAAAAGAAAAAACACAAATTACTAATAATTGCTTGAAAAAATGCTTAATTTCACTAGTAACAAATGAGGTACAAATTAAAACAACTTTAAGATACCAACTCACATCCATCAAATTGGCAAAAATAATAAAAAGTAACAAAATTTGGAGCTGGCATTGCTGTGGGAAAAAAATTCATTCGTTGCTGGTAGAATTGCAAACTTGTAGAATCTCTTTAAAGAGTAATGTGGAAGTTAAATAAAATCTGCAAAAAAAAAATCATAACCTTTAACCTAATAATATAGTTTTGGAGAATAAACCCTGAAAGTGCTATAAAAGACAAAAAGCTGTTTGTGCAAAGATTTCCATAGCAGCATAATTCATACACAGTTACAAAAAAAGTTGGAAACAAATGACCAACAATAGGACAATGGTTAAATAAATTATGGTATTTTAATGTAATACAAAGAATACAATGAATGCAAAGAAATCTAGAAAAACCTGTATGAAATAATTCAAATCAAAAAAAGCAGAACTGAAAGAAAGGAGTATATCTGTAGACTTATTAACTACAATCATATGAATACAAAAAAATGAGAATGAATAGACAAAGATTTTTGAAAAGGACTCAAAGGAAATGTCTTATGATATTTTATTCATTGAAATTAATTTAGATGTAAATTGTCACCATGTACATATATTTGTTTGTATTGATTTGCCATGTTTAATTTTTAAACAAACTTTTTTGAAAAGGAAAATGCCATTGTATTATCTATAAAGGCTATGGAATTTGTGGCCACTGCTATGAAAGAATTCATCAAAATGTAGACTCCTTTGCTTCGTCTTTTATACTTTGTAGGTACAAATTAGTACTTTTCAATTGAATGTAAACTCCTTGAGGAAGGAACTGTTTTGGTTTTGTATTTATAGCCCAAGTACCTAGCACAATCATTACCTGATACAGAATAGGTAATTAATAAATGTTTGTTGAATTGAATTATTTGTTCATTTCTTTGTAGTTACTTTGTCAAAGTATATTGTGCATTTTGTGTTCTATCTACTATTTTCTAATATTTCTTCTCTTTCAGAATTTATGTATCAGACCAAAGATGCTTCTACAGGAGCTGCTTCAATAATTGTCAATAATGAAGGTAGTTATTTCTTGTGTTAAAGCACCATTTTATAAAAGAATATTTTACTTTCAAAACTATAAAAGAAGGCATCACCTTTGCCCTAACCTGCTGTATATTCTCATCCTGCCGCTGATATTCTTTGAAAAGTCCAAAAATACAATTTTATCCACTGATTGTCTTCTAAGTTATTCATTCAGGTATAATGGCTGTCACTATTTACAGAGTTTTGGAATTATCATTTTGTTATTGTTCAGTCATTTCAGTCACTCTTTGTGACCCTATTTGTGGTCTTGACAAAGATACTGGAGTGATTTGCCGTTTCCTTCTCCAGCTCATTTTACAAATAAGGAAACTGAGGCAAACTGGGTTAAGTGACTTGCCCAAGGTAAACACAGCTAGTAAGTGTCTGAGGCTGGATTTGAATTCAAGTCTTCCTGGCTCCAGGCCCAGCACTATATCCACCACACTACCTAACTGCACTTAGTCATCATAGATCAACTCTTTATTCTTTAGTATCTAGTTGTACTTTTCATATAAGCCTGGATTCATATTTATCTATAAAAGCAATTAAGTGTTAGCTATTTTATTGAATGTGATGAATAATAGTACATGCAAGGAAAACAATTTGACACATAATAGTTTTTGAACATCCCCTGGGTGCCAAGCAGGAACTATTTGCTTTTAACTTCCCTTTTTTGTTCATTTGGGTCTTATGTTTGAATAGTGACCAAATTATAAATTTCTCCGTTTACATCTATAAAAAATTATTGTGAAAAATTAAGCTCATCATATTTCCTTCAATTGAATTCTTGCTTCTGATTTCAGTTTTTACTTGAATTTGATAAGCCAAGAATTACAGTTCTCCATATTGTGACAGTAGGCAGAGTGGTTTCCATTATATTCAGACATTTAAAAGTCTGAATATATCATTATGCACCTTAAACTTCATTGTGTTTTGGGGGGTTTTTTTGGTTTTTGTTTTTTGATAGGCAGTGGGGTTAAGGGGCACACAGCTAGTAAGTGTCAAGTGTCTGAGGCCGGATTTGAACTCAGGTCCTGATTCCAGAGCCAGTGCTCTATCCATTGTGCCACCTAGCTGCCCCTTAAACTTCATTTTGAATAATTGTGGTTACCAATTACAGCTAATTCTTTGTCTAACAGCTCTTCTTGTATGTTAGTGATAGCTTCAAATTCAGAGAACCATAGATTTAAAGAACTAGGGACCTTTAGAAGAATCTGGTCCAACCCTCTTATATTACATATTAAATTTTACAGAAGAAACTGAAGCCCAAAGAGATTAAGTGATCTGCCCAAGGTAACAAATAACAGAGCTAGAATTTGAACCTTTGTCTTCTGAGTCTAGATGTGGTATTCTCATATGTATACATAAGAACTATGTATATGTATGCATACATACACATATCTACATACATACATACATATATACATACATACACATATCTACATACACACATACATATATATATATGTATATATATATAAATATGTAAAAGAAATAAGGAAGATGTATGTGTGCACAGGGTATTCCAAAAGTTTTAGTGCTGTGTGTATGTGTTTGTGTATGTACTTTCTTTATTTTTCTTCCTAGAGTCATAGAATGGGAAAAGTAGAAGGGACCTCAGAGATTATCCTTACTCTAAGATAATAATGCTGTCTTTTGCATTTGAAGGTGATGCCATGGCCCCAGAGGACATATACTTTGAGTTATTTTTCTGATAGCAAGAAAGGATTTATGCTGATCCATCCTTCATCCTCTTTTCCAACAAGCATCATGCCTTTGTCAGGTGACTGGTTAGAATTTGTTCAAAGTTATTTTTAGGCCACATCTTTTATAGACAAATCAGCCTGCCATAAGAACAGCCTCTATGATTTACTGCATTTATCTCTACAGAAAAGCCCCAGGGCCAGGCACCAGGAACATCTCTGCTACAGACTCTTGTGTCATGGGACAGTGGGTCCAAGCTTGCTAAATGGACCAGGTATCAATGTCCCATTTCTCCCTTCTCTAAGATGATATAGACAGGGATAATTCTGAGGTTGTAATATTATTAAGTATTATCATTGGCACTGGATTCTTTCAGTATCAGATGCAGCTTAACATTTGTTAAATATTTTTAAACATATTTCAAATTATAGACTTTTTGTAATACAAAACTCTGCACAATTGATGCCTAATTTGTTTGTATACACAGACTGACTGCACATAGGTCATTGATGATGTGTATCATGCAAATTTGCTCCTATTTTTACCAACAAAAATGAAGTCTGTGTTTGGGTTTCCAAGGCTGTTACCACAAATTCCACCTCTTTCCCCCCGATCATCACTCCCTTTGCCTCCCCAACAAAAAAAAAAAAAGAAAGAAAGAAAAAAGTATTTTATATATCATTTCAAAACGACATTTCCCATGGGCATACTTACTTTCAGCTTCTCTCCCCTACTTACTGAATTAAGAATAATCCCCACCACAATTAGACTGTAACCTACTTTTCTAGTGTTATCTCGTACCTTCCTCCTTCCTAATAGGCCATTCACTATGCCCTGTGCTTGTTCTCCCCTCTCTCCTTAGTGCTTTTGCTTACCCTGTCCCACATTTTCCCATCCCCACCTCTGCTTGTTGAAACGCCTCCATTTTTTGAAGGCCAGACTCAGGTATCATCTCTTGCATCTTCCCTGATCGCCCCAGCTAGTAATAAATTCCCTTCTCGGGATTTTTTATGGCCCTTTGTTTAGACTTTTTCTTTATACTTCTTATCTTTTGTCTTGTGTTACGGTTATTGATGTAGATGCCATATTCCTCTTGTTAAATTACAAGTTCCTTAAAGGTAGGAATTGTGTCATTTTTCATTATTATATTCTTACCACTTGGCATGGAGACTTGCACAGTGCACAAAATAGACAAAGTTCTCCATAACATACATACTTCAAGCATTGTTGTTTCCATTTTATAGATGAGGAAACTGAGGCCCAGACAGGTTGTCCATGGTCACACAGCTAGCAAGTGTCAAAGTTCTAACTGAGCCCAGGTCACTTGACTCCAGACTCAGTTTTTCAACGAAATCACATTGCTTCTCAGTTATCTCATGTGTAAAAGGGGGCTAACACCACTTGCCTTGCTTGTCTCACAACGTTGTTCTGAAGCTTGGGTATTATTTCAGTACGTCATTGATGTGGGTCCTCCTACCATTTCAGATTGAAATCTGTCCATCCCTTCTTATCCATCCTGTGTAATTCTTGTTCATGTCCTTCCATAAATCCTCTACAATTTGCTGAATAATGATATAGTGCTATGTGAATGTAAGTTATTATTTTAATTATTCTGTAATTTCAATATAAGTAGTGGATAGAGTGCTATACTTAACAAGTCAGAAAGACCTGGGTTCAAATCCTGCCTCTGACACTCAACAAATTCTGTGACCGTGGGCAAGTCACTTAATCTCTCTAAGCCTTAGGCATCCCTCTAAGATTTATCTGCTAACTTATATTCAGATTCTGATCTACTCTGGCGGATAGAGTTCTCATAACAACAAAATCATAGTGCATTCATTGACATATGGACCTAATGTTATTGAGTATTGCTAAATAACATTGATAAGTAGCTTACTATTTTATCAAGATTGAAAGAGATCAAAATGTGATATGCAAATAGAAAAAAAACTTTCGTTACCAAAGTTACCCTTCATGGAAAAAGAAGTGATAAATTGAATAGGATCATAGATTTAGAGCTGAAAAGAACCAGAGAGCTTATTTAATTGAACTGCTTCACTTTCTACATCATTTAGCATCCAAAAATTATTTGCTCACAGGTGTTATAGGATTACAAGATAAGGTCACTTAGAAGGTGGAGTCTTATAGAGTGTTCTAGTGATCTATGCTTAGTCCTGTGCTAGATATTTTTTTATCAGTGACCTTTCAAATATGTGAATAACAACAAGCTCAAAGGGATAGCTAACACCAGAAGATAGTCAAGATTCAAAAAAACAAACAAACAAACAAACAATTATAACAGGCTAAAACATTGGGCAAAATCTAAAAAGTCCTGATTCTATAAAGATAAAATTTAATAGAGCTAAATGTAAAGTCTTACACTTAAGAAAAAACAACTTTACAAATCTAAGATGAGGAAGTCTGACTAGATTGTAGTTCATCTGGAAAAGGTCTAGGGGCTTTAGTAGGTTTAACTTAAGGCCGCAATGAGAGCTGGCATCCAAGAAAAATAATGCAGTTTTAGGCTACATTAAGAAAGGCAGAGGTTCCAGAAATATGGAGGTAGTAGTCCCACTAACCTCTGCCGTGGTCAGACCACAAGTGAAGTAATGGTAACACATTTGAAAAACAACATTAATAAGCTAGAATGTGTCCAGAGGAGGACAGACAAGATCATGACAGGCCTTAAGTTCATGTCAAACACAGCTTGGTGGAAAGAACAGAGTATGTTTAGCCTAGAAAAGAGAAGACTTAAGGGGGACATAACAAATGACCTCACATATTCAGAGGACTGCCTGCCATGTGAGAGGCAGATTAGATTTGTTCTGGTTGGTCTTGATTGGCCTGCTTGGCAGTCAGAATTAGGATCAATGGGTAGAAGTTGGGAAAAAATCAAATTTAGGTTCAATATGAAGAAAACCTGCACAATCATTGGAGCTATCCGAAAGTGGAATGGACTGCCTTAGGAAGTGGTATGTTTTCCTCCCATTTAGAGGTCTTGAAACAAAAACTTGTCAGTGCACTGTAGAATGGATTCTTATTCAGGGATAGATTATACTAGATGTCCTCTGAAGTCCCTTCCAACTTCAAGATTCTCTGATGCTTGTTTTTGTAACTTAAATAAGTACCCAGAAATATCTTTCTAGGACAGAATATTATCGTCATCGTGGCCGGAGCAAACTTGCTGTTGAATTCTGATGACCTGAGGAAGGCAGCTGATATCATTAGCAGAGCCAAAGTAATTATCTGCCAGCTAGAAATATCTCCAGCTACTTCTCTGGAAGCCCTGACAATGGCCCGCAAGAGCGGAGGTAATTTTACGCATTTGTCATTCTTCCTATGAAAACATCTCTTTCTCTCTCTCATGCTAGCTCAAAATTAGCTTTTTTAAGAGGCAACTTTATTTTGATTTTGATCTCTTTAACAATTTTTCACAGCAAACTACTGTGCCTTCTTATATCCACTTGGCTTTACATTTGTCTTTTAGTTTTAGCAAATGTTAGGGAACTTTACAAATATGGTGAAAACCAAGCCATCTGGCTCAGTACCAGTAACAGAGCTTTAAAAACTAGCATGTCAGATGTCCCCCAATACAAACCCTCAACCCAGTTCCCAGGCCTAATGCCAGGACTGACTTGAATCACCACTGAAGCAGCCCAACATAAACAGTTTCTGGTGATGTTATTTTAGCTTAGAGAATCTGGAAGTGAATCTTGTCACATAAACGTGTATGGTAACGGCACAGTCACCATTTGATAAACACCTTCAGAAGCTAGAGCATCGTTCTCATTCGGCTCTGTAAAAGTTCCAAACCATTTTTGCAACAGAAGGTTTATTTTCAAAATTTTAGAATTTTTTTGAAATAGTTTTTATTTTTCATGCAGTTTATCTTCATGTATTTGAGAATATTTTTAGGTTTGGGAACTTCACGTAGGGCATTTTTGTTTCCTCAAGTGGGCTCTTGATTAGCAATTTACCTCTTCTCCTTCAGCTTCAATAGATAGATATCATTGAGTGCTTCCTTTGTGCCAGATCTAGTGCTAAGTGCTGAGAATATAAATATAAACACGCAAGACAGTCCCTGCCCTCAAGAAGCTTTCATTCTAAAGAGGGAAGACAGCACATAAAAGGGAATTAATACCTTTCTCATTCTGGATGTTATGCCTCTTTTGATACAGTCTAAGATCATATTAACATTTTTTGGCTGCTACATCACAGTCAGTTTATCAAGTTGGCAATTGGTTCAGACCCCCAGATCTTTTCCAGATGAACTGGTGTCTACAAACATTTCCTCCATCTTGTATTTGTGAAGTTGACATTTTGAACGTAAGTTTAGAACCATATATTTATCACATTTTATTTGATTTGACCCACCATTCCAGTCTATTGAGATTTATTTTGGATTCTGATTCTGCCACTCATTGTGTTAGCTAGTTCTCTTAGCTTTGTTTTACCACCAAGTTAATAAGCATCTCGTCTATGCCTTCATCTAAGTCATTGGAAAAAAAAAAGGTTAAAAAGCACAAGGCCTTAGAGCACTGGCCCTGGAGGCAGGAGGACCTGAGTTCAAATCCAGCTTCAGACACTTGACATTTACTAGCTGTGTGACCCTGGGCAAGTCACTTAACCCCCAATTGCCTCACCAAAAAGAAAAAAAAAAGCACAAGGCCATGGAGAGTTCAATCCCAGGAGCACTCTACAAGAGACGTCCATCCAGACTGACACCAAGCAACTGTTCTTTGAACACACTCATTCAGCCAGTTCTAAGGCCACCTAATAGATCATCATCCTCCATAGCCAGCTTCATCCAACCTTATTTCACATTACTTTCCTTCACATACTTTGTTTTCACCAGACTAGATTATGAGCTGGCCAGTAAGCTTTCTACCCAGTCTTCCACTTTCTTAGATGTACATAAGCCATTCTCCAGGCCTGGATTGCACTCCCTCCTGTCATGTTCCTTAGCTGTACTCAAGGATCAGTTTAGGTGATATCTCTTCCATGAAACTTTCTTTTGCTTTCCTCCTCACCTTGCCTTAGATTATATTTTTTTTGGAACATGTTGTGTCCCCTCATTTAGAATGCCTTCCTGTCAGCTCCTAGAGGCCTGGAAATGTTTTATTTTAGGCTTTGTATCCCCAGAACCTAGCACAGTGTCTAGTACCTCAAAGAAGTTTAATGAATATTGGTTGAATTGAATTTCCAAATACTTTGCTGCAAGTTAGGTAAGCTATGAGTCTAAGGGTTGATCACCTTTACATATTTCTACAGTATCTCCCTATTCTCACCAGTCTAGTAACCCTGTTTGAAAAAGGAAATGAGGTGAGTCTGGCATAACCAAGTCTTTTTTTTTTTTTGTGAGGCAACTGGGGTAAAGTGACTTGCCCAGAGTCACATAGCCAGTAAGTGTTATGTGTCTGAGGCCAGATTTGAGCTCAGGTCCTCCTGACTCTAGGGCCAGTGCTCTATCCACTATGCCACCTAGCTGCGCCTGGCATGACCAATTCTTGATGAAACCATGCTGACTCTCTCTGCTCACTGCTTGCTTCTCCAGGTGTTGCCTGACGTTTCTTAAATGGTGAAAAAATTAAAAAGATCAAAAAGATGCCATTTCAAGGTCTTCCCTGATGCATGTTTACAAATGCATAGTATCCAAATGCCAGCCACTACACAACCTTTTTATTCTGTTGCAGTGAAGACTCTGTTTAATCCTGCTCCTGCCACAGCTGACCTTGACGCACAGTTCTATACCGTCTCTGATATATTTTGCTGCAATGAAAGTGAGGTAATATAGTAAAAGAGCCTAATCACTCTTTAACAAGCAGAAAAACTATTTTCTTCAGTGATGAAGTACAGGGATAGAGCTAAGTCATGTGGTCACTCAGTCATTTAATCGCTTTGTTCATTTCTGGGGCAAAGTGGAAAGTGAATGTCTTAGCGTAAATGGGGATGAGAATAACACCTACCTCCCAGAGTTGTTGTGAGGATTTAATGAGATAAGAGTAGACACTGTATCAATCCTTATTCAAAATAGCCAGAAATCTATTTAGATCTGCCACTTACTGGGAATTTTAAAAACAAAACCTAAATTCTGCTACCTTTCAAACAAAGTTTGAACTCTATCATACTGTCCAGATCCTAGTAGCTGTTCTTCACTGGCCCCCCAGGTTATTCTCCCTCCTTTCCTCAAGGAGTTTAGTACTGGAATCACAGCCTTCCTGTGTGCACTCTAACCTGTTTTAGAGGCACATTCTCTTTTCCTCAATTCTATACCTCAGCATCATCCCCCATTCTCTTCTCTTTAGCTCCAGCTTTGAAGGAGAACATACTCCTTCTCTTTGCCAATGCCAATCCCTCTCTTGTTCCTTTGATCCTATCTCCTCCCTTACTCTCTAGGATATTGCTCCTCTGATCACCCCACCCCTCTCCCTAATTTTTGATCTTTCCTTATCCAATGACTCCTCCCTTAACGTTTAAAAACAGACCTAGATCACAATCATTCTATCTCTCTGCTCCTTTCACAACCAAACTCCTAGAAAAAGCTGCCTATACTCACTGCCAACCATTTCAACACCTCCCTCACTTCCCAACCCCCATACAGCCCGTCTTCCTACCAATGATTTATTCATTGGTAAATCCAATGACCATTTGGTCACCAGTCATTAACCATTTCTCAGTCTTCATCCTACTTAACCTCTCTGCAGTACTTTACGCTTTTGACTTTCACTTCCTCTTACACCCTCCCCTCTCCAGACTTTCATGACATCCACATCCCACCCCTATCTGTATAGGTGTATGCCAGGGCTACATCCTAGAAACTCTTCTCTCTTTATGCTTTTTCCCAGTGATCTCATTAACTCCCATGAATTTAACCATTATCTCTATTAATAATTCTTAGATCTGCCCTCTTTCCTGGACCCAGTCCTTCACCAGCTACTTATTTGAGTATTTTCAGCTGGATGGTCCCCTAGACATCTCAAACTTAACATGTCCACAACAGAACTTGCTGTCTTCCTAACTTCCCTGTTTCTTTGAAGTACAGTGCTGTCATTTGTGTCACTTTAATTACAACCCCAGAGTTATCCTTGACTCTTCTCTCTACCTTACCCTTTATATCCAGTCACTAGACCCTGTCAATTCTACTTTCAAAAAATTCCTTAAATCCATTTACTTCTCCCCCTAACCCATATCACAGCCAACCTTGTCCCCCATCATCTGTTGTCTGAACTATTCCATTCCCTCATCGTTGGTCTTTGCCTGCAGTGTATCTCGTCTCTAATCCATGCTCTACACATCTGCCAAACTGACATTTCTAAAGCACAAACTCTGCCTTGTGTTACTTCCTTGCTCGAAAGGTTCCATTGGCTTCCTTTTGCCTCTAGAATAGACTGAAAACTCCTGTGTTTGCATTTTAAAGCCCTTCACTGTCTGGCTCCTGGCTGCTTCCCTTTCTAGGCTCATGGCACATCACATTCCTTCACGCCTGCTTTCTCTCAGCCAGCCTAGTGTACTTGATGCTTGCCATACGTAACATTCTATCTGCTATCTTCATGACTTTGCCTAGGTCTACAAAGCACTCTCTTCTCTCATCTGCCAAAGCTCATCTGCTCAGATGTCAGCTCTAGGAGGCCTGTCATGTTCTCCCCAGAAGCTAGTTCCCTACCTCCAGAATTCCTTTGTAGCTGTCTTGCATTTATTTATTATGTTGTAGTTACTTTTCTCTTCTCATGTTTGTCTCCCAACAGGATGTCAGACCCTTGAGCAGGGAATACTTCACTTTTATCTTCGTAGCCACAGTGCCTGCTCGTTGAGCTTAGTGGTGATGTTATTAAGCTTTTGCTTATGTCTTTGTATCCCCAGCACCTAGAAGAGAAACTTGTACAGGTTTAATAAATACTTAATATGCTTGAGGTGCTTAATAAGTACTTGTTGATTTATAATTCTTTACTTCCCTTATTTACAATTTCATCTCCCAGGAAACAGAGGAGTCAAAGAAGTATATAGGAATGGGCTTCATTCTGAGCAACAAGAACTGCTTAGTGATGTGGAAGTGATAAGAACTTTGTAAGGAAACAGCCAAATCATTTTGTACCTAATTCAGTGTCTCTTTGAACTTGCTTGAAGCAGATTTACTAGCTCTACGATACAGCCAGTTCTACCCACAGAGAAGATAATTTTCTTTTTGGGGGAGGGGAGAGGGGGGCTAGGCAATGGGGTTAAGTGACTTGCCCAGGGTCACACATCTAGTAAGTGTCAAGTGTCTTCAGGCTGGATTTGAACTTAGGTCTTCCTGGCTTCAGGGTCGGTACTCTACCCACTGCGCCATCTAGCTGCCCCAAAGATCATTTTCTTCATCCATGATTCTAAGTTGGGACCAGTCTTACTAGTGGCTATGAGCCTCAGTGATAGATACTTCATTCCCTAGACCCGCTCAGAATCACATGTCTTTCTACTTATCAGAAGCAGATTCCTCATCTCTGCTTGGTTTGATGCTTTTACCACTTTGTCCTGCTCCCTCTCCATCCTCTCCCAGCAGCACCAACCTTCCTGCTTTTGCTTTTTGGATCCTGCATTCCATCTAGACATTTATAGTTCATATGACACATCATACCTTTGAGGTCCAAGTTGCTCCTCAACATAGGTGAAATTCCCTGACACGCCAATTCATCTAAGCCAACCCCTTTCTAGGCCACATTAGAACTGAGTATCTTCATCTTCTTTTCTGCCTACCAAAATCCCTTTCCTCTTTGTCTTGTTGAAGTTCCATCTTTTCATCTGTCATCAGCCTCTAGGTGCATATGTTTCACTGTAAAGATTTCATATATATTCAGGTTTCTCTCCAGGTCTACCTATACCTTGTGTCTGTGCCTATCTCTGAGTCTTCACATGTACTTGTTGGCCATAGATGGGCCTCTCATCTGTGTCTGCTTCTTGATATGTCCCTATTGGTTTTAAAAGCCAAATGCAAGGGCCAGCCTGAGTGTATGAATTCACATTATTGTAATATGAACTCAGCGACTGCTGCTGTTGCTGCCTTAGCAAAGACCACACCAGTGAGTGATAAGGTAGTTTCACACCTTGATCTGGAGATAAGAGAAAGGGATAAACCTGATGCCTCTAGATGTAGGCCATGGTAGGTGTTTAATAAATACTTGTTGATTGATTAGTTGGTTGATTTTAAAGGAAATATCACAGGAGGGTCCTTTACCTTCTATGCTATTATAGCTTTATAAATAGTTAAATAGCATTTTTTCCCAAGTCATTAGGTACCCAGCCAATACCAGGACACTGTATCCCTGAGTCCTCCTGGTACCTAACTTGGGATTGAGTTTCTTTCCTGTTTGCTGGGAATATTTTAAAGCCTTAATTCAACAGTTGTAGGCTTAGAACAAATGTTTGATGGCATACCCAAGCCTATGTGAGACTGTATGCTATACCTATAGCATAGCCCTGACCTAATATAGAACCAAGAAGCCATGTGGCTTCTTCATACTTGTAAATGGGAATTTCTTCCCTCTCGTCCTCAGTTCTCTTCTCATAGTTTTCCATAAGAACTGAAAATATCTTAAAGAAATCTCCCCATCCCAATTAGTATGATTACTGAAATCTGAATAAATTCATTTGGTTAACTACGGGCATCTAGTTCTCATGGAATCTTGTGATTTTAGAGTTAGAAAGTACTAGAAATCATCTAGTACCAAATTCCCACTCCATGTAAGGAATCCCCCATATAACTACAGGAATATCTGGGTACACATTCTATCTGACACTTACTGGCTATGTGACCTGGGGCAGATCACTTAACTACTGATACCTATAGTATCTCCTAACATCACAGAGTTGTGAGATTCAAATAAGAGAATATAAAGGGTATCCCTTAAGCTATTAAAACTTAAAACTGCACTAAGATTTTTGGGATACCCTATATATTTGTATATGTATGCTTTAAAAACTTTAAAGTGCTACATAATCATTAGTTACTACTATTATGATTATGCATATAAAGTATTTTGCAAAACTTTTAAAGCACTCTATAAATGTCATTTGTTCTCACCTATAATCTATGAGGTAATCCAACCTCAGTGGCATCACCACTTCACTTTTGTCAGGAGTCTCAAAACCAAATCAATTAAAAGAAATAGAAACAGCTTTCTAATAAAACAACTTCAGATAAATTGGCACAAATTACTTATTAACGACTTTACTTTCTTTGATTTCTAGGCTGAGATTTTAACTGGGCTTACAATTAGTAGCCCTGCAGCAGCTGGAAAAGCTGGATTGGTGCTGACAGAAAGGGGTTGCAAGATGGTAATCATTACCTTAGGTGCTGAAGGATGTGTGTTTGTATCAGCCAAAGAACCTGGCCCAAAGCATGTTCCCACACAGAAGGTCATCAAACCTGTGGATACTACGGTATGTTTTGAGATTCGAGAAAACTTTTTTTTCAAGCACTTTGGGAAAAAAATAATTTAGTAACTAACTAGTACATTTTAATCTGAGAGTGAGGATATGAAGGCACAGGGAGCCAGTGGGTTAGAATGACAGGATTACTGAACAAATTAGAAGACTTGGATACCAATCCAGTGATCTAACCAAATCCTCCCTCACAATTCTCTGAACCTCTTGTTTTCTAATAATTGGTAAATCTGTAAGAAAAAAAATCTTTAAAATGCCTTTTTTAAGGTATCTCACAGAGTTCTTGCAGGGAAAAAAAGATTGCTTGGTCACCAGAAATAATGGGAATGAAAGGGCTTGGAAACTTTGATTATAAGGACTGAGGGTTATTTTGTATTTTTCTTTGTTTCATGTGTTGCCTTGGCCAAACCTTTAGCCAACTAGTAGATACTCTAAAAATGATAAGCTACATCAGGCCTCAGGCAACAGAGTATCAGTCACTAGTTCTGTGCTGAAAACCTGCCCTAACTCACACCCCCTTAGGATAGCCTTCCGGCTACTTCCAGAACACAAATGAGGCATTTGATTACTTTCATTGCTCAGATGTCTGCTTCTGGTTGTAGGAATATAAAACAGTGCATCTTCTTCAGCCTGTAATAGAAGAGGAAAGTGTTCAGGGGAGTTCCCCCTATGACAAAGTCTATAAAATCCCATTTCCTCAGCTGAGGAATAATGGTGGCTTAGAAAAAGCCAGCAGTTTAAGGGAATCCCTCTAGGAAACGTCATGGTTTTTGTATAAAGTTACTTCAGTGAGTATTCATCAAGTTTTTTCCTCCTGTAATCTTTTTATTCTTAATGGAGATTCCCTCTGTAACTTACCTATGATTCACCGCCTTCAAAAATGCCTTCCATTCCCTCTATGGCAAAAGAAGCCATGTTCCTTCCCTCTGACTTAGGGTCTTGTAAGCAGCAAGTGTGATTGTTTTATCATCAACTGGCCCCGAGTGATGGGAAGTCAGAGAACGCTTAGGGTGCCAGCCTGCCTTTGGAGCCTGGCCTGGACAGCTGCATGAGCTTCTCCTTCCTTACCTCGACTGGTGTTTCAGCAAGCACTTGTTATGCCTATAGTGTAACACCAGATCACAGCTTGTCCACTGCAGTAATGGTTCTAGCTTGTGTAAAATGGTTCGAGAACTCAAAGATGAATACTAAACTGTAATAGCTCTGCTCAAAAGTTATTCTCTGTCCTTCCCATTCTTTTTCTCTTCTTCATTTATTTTCAAACAAGACCCCATCTCCTGACTCTTTGTCCCTTTTAAATGCATGTCCCTTCACTGGTGCCCTCCATCCTCACCTCCACCTCCAAGCTTCCTTAAAGATGCATCTCAGACCGCACCTCCTTCAAGAAGTCTTTCCCAGCCTCTGCTTTGACCTCATCCAGCTAGAGCCTCCCAACAGAAATCATCTCCCACTTACACCTGTGTTTATCTTGCATGTAAACAATTGTGTGTGTGTTTTCTCTCCCATTAAAATGTGAGCTCTTTGAGGGCAGGGACTATGTTTTCTTCTTTCTTCCTATTCTCAGCATTTAGCAGTAGTGTCTAATACATAGTAAATGTTTGCTAACTGATTAAAGATATAGACACTACCGGTATGGGTTGTCTGTGCTTAGTACAAACAGTTGGCAGTCTTCCTTCCTCTCCTTCCCAATTTTACCATGTGCTTTATGGTCATGGTCAATAAATATGATTATTTATAATATGTAGAGGGCATTTTTTTGTTGTTGTTGTTTTGTTTGTTTTTGCTAGGCAGTGGGGTTAAGTGACTTGCCCAGGGTCACACAGCTAGTAAATGTCAAGTGTCTGAGGCCAGATTTGAACTCAGGTCCTCCTGACTCCAGGGCTGGTGTTCTATGCACTGCACACCTAGCTGCCCCGGAATTTTTCTTTGTAGAATCTTAGTATTAGATTATCCAGTCCAACCACTGCCTGAAGTATAAATGTTCCCTACCATGTCCCCAACAAGCCATCATCCAGTACCCTGTGAATGAAGCCTTTGCCACGTCCTTGGCAATGTATCTACCACCCAGTTCAGTGGCTATTTTTTGAGTGCCCACTATTTTCAAGGTACAGTCCCTTTTAATCGACTGCCTGAAAGAATTCTAGTCATTGGACAAATAGATGTTCTCTTGATCAGGAGAAGGAATTCTTTGCCAAGGTTATTCCTCTTCCTATTCTGGGGGAAACCCCTGCAAGTGTCCCTGAGTTCTGTGCAATGGCTGTGATCTTTGTAGAGTCCTCTCCTCATCAGTAAGATCTTCAGATGGGTCCTTTCTGCCATAGGAGCGATATGGCTGATGTGGAAGGAGGTATGCATTCAACCATGTAACTTTGTCCCCTAGTTACTATAGATCTCTATAGGACCTCAGCAGCCAGGATGATAACAAGAACATGGTCAGTTATTATACTCTCACATCCTGATCTGGGTGAGAGAAATACCAAACACCGTAAGAAGGGATCTCAGCTACCCTGGAGCTTAGAAGAACACAGTAAGCTCTCTTGGCCCTTACAACCCCCAGATGCTTTGGAGAACTCCAGTTTTAATCCTTTAGCATGTAGTTCTATATGGCTTCTCTTAGAGCCAGGAGATGTAAAGGCTTTCAAAGTTCCCAGGACAGGGCTAGAGTGGTTGCTCACAGCATACGTATAATCAAGTCTGCTACCAAATAACTGCTTAAGAAATTCCCATTTCACTGAAACCAGACTCCTGAGAGTCATTAAAGAGAGGCTAGCCTTCCCCTCAAGTCACTGAATTAGTTAAGGAGCATCACTTTAAGACTTGTGCTAAGGAATTAGTCTTCCTACCTCTAATCATTTCCCTTTTCCAGTTCATTCTGTGTACTGCAGCCAGATTAATCTTCCGAAAACACTGCTGTAGCCAAGTCACTCTTCAATTCAAAAACAGTAACATCTCACATTTATATAAGTTCTTATTTATTTATAAATTTCTATGTATGTTTCTATGTTTTATTTGTTTATAAGTTTTATAAAACACATCTTTGTTCATGTATTCTTTTCTGCCTAGAATTGTGTTCTCCCCATCTTTATCTTTTGAAATCCTACCCGTCTCTCAAGGGCTGGTCAAATGCCACTTTTATCAGCCAGAACTACTCTCTCCCTCTTCTCAATTGCTACAGCAATTATTATTTGCACCAATCATGCCACACTAATTATAGAATGTAGTGTATTATAGTTATCTGTGTCATCTCTGCTATTAGAATATAAACTCCTAGAGGGCAGCAACTATTTCTGACACATCATAGCACCCCACCCCCAAAAAATAGCCAAAAAATATTTATTAAATTAATAAATGAACTATTAATCTGTATGGAATTAACACATAAACCCTTTCCTTGTCCTGTGCCCAACCTCATCCAATTAGTTTTCACACCAGATGCCAAGTGAAGTTATGCACTATCACACTATTTATGTTAAATTATTATTCTTAAGATACAACACCAGCAATAATATTTTCAAATAAGAACCTAATGTATCACCATTTTCAAGTTGTGATTTCTCCAGAAGTCATTTCAGTACTGCTAATGCTTAAGCTAGGACAGTCTAGCAAATATTTTATTTGACAGATATTGTTATAACAAATCATCTGCATAACTGAATGAATTCTCAGCTTGGGCATAGGGGTGCAGCAGAGTATGTGTGGAGTAGAGGGGACACTGACAGAAAACAAAGTTGATTTCTTGGCTTGAAATCTCATGCTTTTCTTTACTGCCAGCATTATGATTTATTCACTGCTCACATTAGTCACTGTCATTGTTAAAATTCTTGCCTATTCTATACTTAACCAGTCTTTTGTGTTGTTCAGTCATTTTTCAATTGTGTCTGACTCTGTTACCCCATTTGAGGTTTTCTTGGCAGAGATACTGGAGTACTTTGCTATTTCCTTCTCCAGCTCATTTTATAGATGAGGAAACTGAGGCAAACAGTATTAAGTGACTCACGTAGGGTCACACAGCTAGTTAAGTGTCTGAGGCCAGATCTTCCTGACTCCAGTCCTGACTGTATTCCACTGTGCCACCTAGCTGGCTCCATTCAATCAGTTTACTTTTTTATAAGTATCAGTTTACCTCTTTATAAGTCTAATGTAAGTATAATATACCTCTATGTAAGTCTAATATTTATAAGTCTATAAATAGACTTTATAAGTCTAATTTAAGTGAGAAATTCCAGTGAAGGCATCTTTTATCTCTCTGCCAGGACTATAGTTGGTCTCAATTGGTTTTTTTAGTCATCTATCTTATATATGCTTTCTGCTTTCCTAATGAAAGAATTATTGATGATCTGGATGATGGAAACATCTTTAGTTAGCTGGCACAATGTCCATTTGAGATATCTGCCCTATGAAAACCATTTCCTCTTCTACGTCAGTAATTTTGCAGGTTGCTGTATTTAATTTTGCCTCAAATGCTAATAGTTGAGTGTACCATTTCTATTTTTGCATCCTTTTTTTTCTTCCAAGTTGTGCTAGAAGGAAATGGTGGCAGTAACTACAGATGTCCCCAGCTCAGTTTGGAAGACTTGACAGATGTGTCTGTTTTCTAATTCTTTTCTACGTTCTCTGATGCTTAACCTCATTGTGACAGGGATTTCATGTCCTCATTCTGTCCCTTCACAAATCTGCAGCGTGAGAACTTTGTCCTCTCTGTGTGTTTTAGACGTCACTGAAGAAGCAGCCAGTTTTCATTAATAGTCCATACACATGTGAATAGTATTATGTTAAAATGTTTTTGTGCTAGTACAATGTCATTATGAATATGTGACTGTGTTAATTAACACTGCTCTGGGAGCCCTGTAAAAATTCCTGAGCAGTAAATTAATTTACCCTTTAATAATAATAGCTAGCATTCTCAGCAATACAATGATCCAAGACAATTCTAAAGGGCTTATGATGAAAAATGCTATCCATCCCCAGAGACAGAACTGATGGAGTCTGAATACAGA